AGCCGCGGCCCTCGACGGCCCCTTACCCAGTGTGGCCCATCTGCCCCCACAACCGTGACTGGATTCTAAACTTGTCAACTGTTGAGCAGCCTGGGGCCCCACCACCGGTCCTAGACGGCAGGGGTGGCAGCGAGGCGAGGGGGCGGGGAACGCACTCACCGGAACCCGGTCGGGGTATTTCGCTCGGATCTTCGCAGATTCCACGCATCTGTGTTCTGAGGGAGAAACACACGGGACTGACTGCCGCGCCTGCCCGCCGGCCGCCTCCCAGAGCCCCGGCCCTCCTCCCTCCGGGACCTGCGCACACCCCCGGTCCTCTAGGGCGTCCGGGCGGGCCCGGTCCTCGGGGCCCCGGCTCCGGCAGGGCCCGCAGAGAGCGGCCTGGGGCTGGTGGGCAACCGCCCGGGGGGCCAGGACCTCAGCCGCCCGAGCCCGGAGGGAAGCACCGGCCCCGCCCGGCCCAGCCTGGGGAGGCCTGAGTGGGGGAGGGGGCCCCCGCCGCCCCCGCCCCCACGGCCGGGCCAGCGGCCGAGCGCTCACCCAGCGAGTGGTCCTCCTTAAACATCCACTTCATGGCGGCGGCGAAGAAGGGACGCAGCCGGCTCTCGGAGCCGCGGAGCTCAGCGCACCAACCACAACAACAACGACGGCGGCGGCGGCGGCGGCGACTACACGGCAGGCGGGACTTCCGGCTGCCAGAGCCTAGCAACCGGGAGGGGCGGGGCTTCCGGCGCCGCTTGCGGGACACCGCCTCAAGGGGCGGGCCCGCGTGTCAAGGGGCGGGGCAGGAGAGGGGCTTAGAGGAGTTTCGGCTGAGGGGAGGATAGAGCGGGGGATTGGGAGGTCTGTGAGGGATACTGATGACTGCGGAGCGGGTATTTGAGAGCTGGTAGCAGGCGTGGGGTCTCGGTGGACGTTAGTAAAGGGAAGAGGTGAGCAGGGGCCCGGCTGACAGGATAGAGCCCTTACAGTGCTGTTCAGGAGACTGTTCAAAAAGCAGGGCTGACTGGGGCGTTGATGACGAGAGGGCAATTTTGTAGGTTTGAATGACAGAAGAGGGTGCTCTGATGGCCAGTGATAGCAAGGGGTCAATTTAGGGCTTTGACAGTTTGGGGAGGAGTCTTTGGAGTGACTGCAGGTTCAGGGCTCAATCTGAGGAATGTGACTGGTTTGAGGGGGCTGTGTGGGGAGGGGTACCAGAGGAGTTAGAGGTGAGACTGTCAGACCCAGAGAATTCCCCTGATACCTAGTCATGAGGTGGGTTTCTTTGGCATTCAGCATGAAGTTCAGCCTTCACAACCTAAGGGGTGTGTGTGTGTGTGTGTGTGTGTCCTGCCTGACCATATGCCTTCAGGTTCTCCAGTGATGTCATTGCTTTCTTCCTCCAAGACACACCAGGGCAGTGTGCTCTAGTTCATCCATCTTTTTATGAGCTGGTGAATATGTAAGAAGATATTCACTTAATTGGGCACGTGATCCTTGCCACGTGCTTGTGATTCTGATGCATCTGAAAGGCTTGTATGTTTGGACATTGTCATTTATCATTTCCTAAGTGGAAATTCCTGATGGATGCTGTGGAATATAGCTTCATTCTAGAAGTATTTCTTGTTATTTTAAGATTGCTTCCTTGTTTTTTATGAAAAATCCTTTGAATTTCATGCCTGGAAACTTTTGTTGTTGCATGTAAGAGCACTGTTCTAAGTGTTGGTGAAAAGCAGTAAACAGAACAGACGGCACTTCCACTCTTACAGAGCTTGCATTCTAGTGGGACAAAATGAAAAATATATATGTTGGGTAATGATAGGTACTGTTTAGAAAAATAAAGCATACTTGGTGACTACTGAGTCACATGATGGTGGGATCAGATGTTAATTAGATAAAGTGGTTGGCATATTTCTGGGAATGGGAAGGAGTCCCGTGTGACTGGAGCTGAATACAGAAGAAAGTGTGCACTAGGAAGTGAGACCAAAGAGATCTAGAAAAGTGTGTTGAACTTTGAATTCCATTTGAAGAACTTTGGATTTTATTTAGAATGAGATGAGAAGGCAGTGGAGGGTTATAAGCAGAAGTGTGACATGATATGACTTTCCTAGCTTCTGTGTAGCCAGTAGATTATAGGGGGTTGAGGATGGAAGTAAGGGAACAGTTAAGAGGCTATTGTGATAATCCAGGTATAAGATTATGTTGGTTTAAACCAAGATAGTATCTGTGGAGGTAATGGGAAGCAACTGTGTTCTAGATACATTTTGAAGGTAGATCCAACAAAATTTGCTGAGCAATTGAATATGATTCATGAGGAACAAGTATAAGTCAGGGTTTTGGAAGAATTGAGTTGTCATTTACTGGAACAGGGTGGAACCTGAGGGGTGGGTTGTGCAAATCAAGAGTTTGGTTTTGAATATATTAAGTGTTAGATGCCCAAAAGACACATCCAAGTAAAGATGTAGAGTAGGTAGATGGATCTATGAATCTCAGATTCAGGATAGAAGTATTTAAAGCTATCAAATAAGATGAGATATATTAGAAAGTGAGACAGCATATTAAAAAGCAGAGACATTACTTTTTCAACAAAGATCCGTCTAGTCAAGGCTATGGTTTTTCCAGTAGTCATGTATGGATGTGAGAGTTGGACTATAAAGAAAGCTGAGCACTGAAGAATTGATGCTTTTGAACTGTGGTGTTGGAGAAGACTTTTGAGAGTCTCTTGGACAGCAAGGAGATTCAACCAGTCATCCTAAAGGAAATCAGTCCTGAATGTTCATTGGAAGGACTGATGTTGTAACTGAAACTCCAATACTTTGGCCACCTGATGCGAAGAGCTGACTCATTTGAAAAGACCCTGATGCTAGGAAAGATAGACGGCAGGAGGAGGAGGGGATGACAGAAGATGAGATGGATGGATGGCATCACCGACTCAATGGACATGAGTTTGGGTAGACTTCAGGAGTTGGTGATAGGCAGGGAGGCCTGGCGTGCTGCAGTCCATGGAGTCACAAAGAGTCGGACACGACTGAGCAACTGAACTGAACTGACTGAAATGAAGAGAGTGAGCATAAAAATGAAAATAACCTGTTTTGCAAATAGAATTAAGCACTGAGGAATGAAGATGGTTGTTAACCCTCTGATAGTGAATCAGTGAAGGAGTTAGAAATTGGACCAAAGACCCCTGCTTCCCATTACAGAGCTGGTCATTGTGTCCTAGTTCGAAGTATGTGTACACCATCTTACACCTGGAAGAACTTAGTATGCTTCTTAGTGGAGAGATTCGAAGCTCATCAACTTACAAGCATGTTTGTCACCTGATGGTCTCGACATGCAATGTCTGTCTTCTATCTTTACCTACCTTTTTTTTTTTTTTTTTTTTGCCACATCACGCGGCATGCAGGAATCTTAGTTCTTAGTCCCCCACCCCACCCCCAGGAATCCAACACATGCCCAGTGCACTAGAAGTGCAGAGTCCTAACCCCTGAACCACCAGGGACTTCCTTTTACCTACCTTCCTGATGTCTTTTTCCAGTTCACCATTCTAATTGGTTTCTCTGGCTGATGACATTGTCACCTTAGACTGTGGTAAGGGCACTGTATAGTTTTCCCATATGGGCATGTCTTGACCTCTCATCTTTGCTAGGATCTCAGCTGTTCTCTTCAGCTAAAACCCAATTCTAGGTTACAGTAACTAAACTTATCATGGTAATCATTCTGAAATGTATAGAAATACTGAATCACTATATTGTATAACAGGAACTAACCTAATGTTGTGGTCAATTATACTTCAAAAATGAACTCATTAAAAAGAGATCAGGTTTGTGATTACCCAAGGCAACGTGGAGGGAGGGGAAAGATGGATGAAGTCAGTCAGAAGATACAAACTTCCAGTTATAAGATAAATGAGTACTAGGGAGGTAATGTACAACATGATAAATATAATTAACACTGCTTTATGTTGTATATGAAAAGTAACTGCTAAGAGTTCTCATCACAGGGGAAAATTTTTTTCTATTTCCTTAATTTTTAATCTATATGAGATGAGAGATGTTCAATAAATTTATTGTGGTAATCATTTCATGATGCATGTAACTTAAATCATTATGTTGTACACCTTAAACTTATACAGTGCCATATGTCAATTATACCTCAATAAAACTAGGAGAAAAACCCACTTCTAGGTTGCCTTCAAAATAGGGGTATCTACCAATGGATTTCATTCTGAGCACAAACTTCAAAAACTCGGCACTGCAATGTGATCCTTTAGGGCCTTTTGATGGAGAACTTGACTGTTGATTACCTAAAAAATAAAAAATTCCTTCTGCCATGTCTGAAATACTAGAAAGCAGATGGGATGGGAGGGAAAGCATTCAATTAAGTCATCAGTTCAATTCAGTCGCTCAGTCGTGTCCGACTCTGCGACCCCATGGACTGCAGCATGCCAGGCTTCCCTGTGTAATTTTATCTTTGAGGAGGACCACGGCTTCTCCTAAAATAAGTAGCCTAAAGCTTGTGCCCAATCAAGATAGCAAAGTATAGCAGAGCTATACAGTAATTATCTTTTTTTTTCCCTCGAAGAACAGGGAGAAAAATAGGTCCGTTTCCGTGTCTGCTCTGCTATGGAGTATAGTGAAAGCGATAGAAAATTTGAAAACAAAGGGACCTAGTTTGGTCTTAACCCAGGACCAAGTGTCTAGGACCACGGCCACATTTGTGTTTTTTGTTTGCCTCCAACGTAGGGTGTGCTGTGATGGGTTGGACTTAAATATGCAATGAACCACATTGGGGATTAATAGATGTGACTATTAATAAATAGTCAACATTTATGAAAAAACTTATTTTACAAAAATGTTAACAACGGCCACAATTTTGGCACACAGAAACGTGCTTTGGGAAGACGCTAGTACAGCGCGACCACAGTGCACTTGCGGGCCCCGCCCCGTTGGCCCCGCCCCCACTGAAGCCCGCCTGCTCGCTATTGGTCGCTCTCCCTGGGCCGTCGGTTGCCGTGGAAACCACGGCTATGGCAACCAGGAGAAGCCATACTAGGTCGACGCTCCAAAACCGCGTAGGGGCCGCGACCCAGCGCGCCGCTCATGGCGCTCTATGAGCTCTTTGCGCACCCGGTGGAGCGGGGCTACCGTGCGGGGCTCTGCTCCAAGGCGGCGCTCTTCCTGCTGCTGGCCGCTGCGCTCACGTACATCCCGCCGCTGCTGGTGGCCTTCCGGAGCCACGGTGAGTCTGCCCCCTGCCCCGGTCGGTGCGCGCCCCGCGGCCCTCAGTGGCTCCCGCGCCGCCTCCCTGACCCAAATCTCTGCGCCCCGCACTCTTGTTATCTCAGGGTTTTGGCTGAAACGGAGCAGTTACGAGGAGCAGCCAACCGTGCGCTTCCAGCACCAGGTGCTGCTCGTGGCCTTGCTAGGATCCGAGCCGGGCGGGTTCCTCGCCTGGAGCACGTTCCCCGCCTTCAACCGGCTGCAGGAGGGTCATCTGCGCGTCCCGCTCGTCTCGGTGAGTGCTTCCCGCCTGGGCCCGGCAGCGCAGACTGGGCTGCGGAGGGAATGGGCGGAGGTCGCGGGCGGGCGGGAGGCCCCGGTCCCCGTCCCGGGGGGCCCGGGGTGCGGCTTAAGGAGTCACGAACCCCTGACACGAACTTCTGTTTCCTTTCCTGGGGGCCTGCTTGTTGGTGCATTCTGCTTCTTCAAGCCGTCCCCCACCCCGGTAAAGCTGGCTGCTGCTGTCAGCGTCTCTGTTCTCTGCAGTTTCCAACCCCTGGCATTTTCGTGGGCCTGGATCTTCCTGAGGGAATGGTGGTCGCGGAATTTGTTGTGTGAGTCGCGTTGTTGTTCATTCTCTAAGTCATGTCCGACTCTGGTGGTGGTGGTTTAGTAGCTAAGTCGTGTCTGACCCTTGCGACCCCATGGGCTGTGGCCCACCAGTCTCCTCTGTCCACGTCCTCTGTCTACGGGATTCTCCAGGCAAGAATACTGGAGTGGCCATGCCCTCCTCCAGGGGATCTTCCCGACCCAGGAATCAAACCCAGGTCTCCTGCATCACAGGCAGATTCTTTACCAACTGAGCTATGAGGGAAGCCCGACTCTGTGAGCCCGTAAGCTGCAGCACGCCAGGTTTCCCTGTCCTTCACCATCTCCGTGAGTTTGCTCAAACTCATGTGCGTTGAGTCAGTGACGCAATGCTTCTCATCCTCTGTTCTGGTTAATCACCTCGTTGTGCCGCTGAGTTGTGCTTGCGCCCACTGTCCGCGAGGCAAGGGCAGGCAGTTTCAGGCGGACTGACACGTGGAAGCCGACGGGCTGTTTGGTTAACCGACCTCCAGAACGTCCTGCTGGCCAGGCCCGCCTCCCTGGGCTCACCTCCTTAGGTGCCGCTCAGTCCTGCTGCTGCCTGGGACTAAAATGAAGCATTTTACTGTCTGTCATGTAGTATCTGGTTCAAGTTAAGTGAGTGCTTCCTTTTCAGTCACCCCTTTAAACTCACTTTCTGAAAGCATTTTCCTTTGGAAGTAGGAAAATTCTGGATTTCCTTCTTCCAGAGTTGAATCTCTTTAGATATCTGAGATGATGGGCCTACATTCAGATTTCTGTAGCTGAAAAAAAATTTTTTTCAGACTTTTTCCGCAGTAACTGAATAAAGTGGCCAAAAAAAATTTAAATGCAATTTGCCATAAATGAATAACCACAAACAAAATATGGTTCTGATTACTTTTTATGATTACTTTAATTTTTTTATAATTATAAAAATGCCTGCTCGTTGAAAGTAGTAGAGTTACAGGTACATATAATGACATGAAATTAAAAGCTCAGTTTGGTACATGTATCTAGACTTGTTGATTAACCTTCATTTTAAGGTCTGCTAGGGGCTTCCCTGATGGATCAGTGGTAAAGAGTCTGCCTGCCAATGCAGGAGACTTGGGTTTGATCTGTGGGTCAGGAAGATCCCCTAGAGAAGGAAATAGCAACCCACTCCAGTGTTCTTCTCTGGGAAATCCCATGGACAGAGAAGCCTGGTGGGATATACAGTCTATGCGGTTACAGAAGAACTAGACACAACTTAGTGACTAAACAACCGAATATTTCATGATATGGAAAGTTGTAATGGATTTACCAGTTTCCTGTTGGTGGATTTTTTTGTTTTTACTTTTTCACTATTAGAATATTGCAGTGAACAAGATTTTGAATAAATCATACACCTTTAAACATCAAATTGTGAGGAATTGGAGTAGAAGCTGTTTGTTAAAATTGCAAAAATACATAGAAAACTAAGCAAGCAAATAAAATAATTATTAACTCCAGAAAAATAGAAAGGAAAAATAATCAGAATTATGAATACGATTTCAGTTCAGTTCAGTCGCTCAGTCATATTCGACTCTTTGTGACCCCATGAACTTCAGCACGCCAGGCCTTCCTGTCAACTCCTGGAGTCTGCCTAAACTCATGTCCATTGAGTCAGTGATGCCATCCAACCATCTCATCCTCTGTCATCCCCTTCTCCTCCTGCCTTCAATCTTTCCCAGCATCAGGGTCTTTGCAAATGAGTCAGCTCTTCGCATCAGGTGGCCAAAGTACTGGAGTTTCAGCTTCAAGCATCAGTCCTTCCAATGAACACCCAGGACTGATCTCCTTTAGGATGGACTGGTTGGATCTCCTTGCAGTCCAAGGGACTCTGAAGAGTCTTCTCCAACACCACAGTTCAAAAGCATCGATTCTTCGGTGCTCAGCTTCTTTACAGTCCAACTCTCACATCCATACATGACCGCTGGAAAAACCATAGCCTTGACTAAACGGACCTTTGCTGACAAAGTAATGTCTCTGGTTTTTAATATGAATTGGATTTACATAATCATAATTAGGTGAACACTAAATGTTGACTAACCAAAGGAAGAGTTTAACTCTTCTCGGGGTGTGGCGTAGAAAGAGGCAAAGAAAATTAAATCATCCCTCTCTGTGGGAAGACAATAGAGGATGCCTGAAACAGAAATTGAGAAGTGCCAATGCAAATGTTATTTAAAGACATGAAGGTACAATTCTAAATTATAAAGTAAATGAGGTGAATTTATTTGCTGTGTGGGTGGAAGCCTGGTGGATTTTTTAACAAACATCATTGAACCTTTTGATCCTTTAACTGATCAGGTCCTTTAAATTTATTTAAAAAATAGAACTGGAGTACAGACAAATTTCTTTCAGCAGCTCCTCCCTAATCTTCACACGTTGCCCATTTTTATTCTTATTTGAGGTTTTAATGCCTATGGGGAAGGTGACTGTTGATGTGAGACCAGCATCAAGGTATGCTTCCTTTTCCCTGTAAACCCACGGTTCCACCCATGTTTCCCTTCCAACAGTAGAAGCAAAGGTGGTTGTTGTTTGTATTACAAACACACAAAAAATTAACTTGTTAGTTTTACTCTAGGTTAGCTTTCCCTGTCTTTTAAACTTTGGGTAGAAATTTTTTTTCTTTACATTTGTGTATTCTTATCTATCATATTCTCCTGGGTACTTGAGTCTTTAAGAAATAATCATGAAAACAAAATAGTCATGAAAACAAGGATACAACATTAGGTTTCATTTTTGTGTTCTTTTCACTTGTTCATCCACCATAAAGTGGTTTGGCTCCCCAGTTGCATTACTAGCTAGCCTCTTATCTCTGTGACCAGAAGCCACTCCCTTGAGAGCACTGCCCACCAGGCCCCTACTTCTGGCGTGTGTGTGTTGCGATTTTATGAAGCCGAGACTGCTTCTTATTTTTATGGAACCCAGAGCTATCAATACTCTTTAATACTGGGTAATTTTGCATTGTAAGACATAAAGCCAAAGTTCCTTTTTCTTAGTTTTTTCCCTCTCCATTCCAAGCCTGTGTCTGTAAGTAAATTATGACCTTGTGATTTGCAATCTTTCACGGTAAATTATTTGCTTACTTCCTGATTGACCCCTTGGTTTGAAAAAGTTTGAAATCTTGAGATACAAATAAATGAATTAGAAGATATAAGGGAAGTACAAGAAAAAAAGTAAGTAAAAATTCAAGGAGAAAAAGAAGAATAACACAAGAAGTCTACCAGATATTAAACTACACCTTAAAGCTCCAATAAATAAAGTAGTGTGGCTTGTAGAATTGTATAAAATGTGGAAATGAACCCAAATATGACTAAGGTGGCATTTTTTAAAATATATATATATATTTATTTATTTGGTAGTGCCAGGCCTTAGTTGTAGCATGTGGGATCTAGTTCCATGACCAGGGATTGAACCCAGGCTCCTCTGCGTTGGAAGCCTGGAGTCTTAGCCACTGGACCACCAGGGAGGTCCCCTAAGGTGGCATTTTAAATCAGTGAGTGAAGATGAAGCTAGTACTCAGAGATTGTATAGCAGAATTAAAGTCCAGGCCAAAATTAAATTTAAGATATGAAATCACAAAACTACTGAAACAAATGAGTGAAAACTTTTAGATTTCTCAGTATGACATAAAATCTAGAAGGCATAAAAGAAACTTTTTTGATAAATGCAAGTATATAAAAAACAATTTTAAGAACTGTTGGCCTGGTGAAAACCAAAAGCAAAGTCAAAACACAAAATGACAACTAGGGAAAAAAGTTTTACTATTTGTTTCACTTATAAAGGGCTAATTTTCCTAACATAAAATGCCTCAGTTCAGTTCAGTCACTCAGTCATGTCTGATCCTTTTCGACTCTATGGACTGCCGCACGCCAGGCTTCCCTGTCCATCGCCAGCTCTCAGAGCTTGCTCAGACTAATGTCTATTAAGTTGGTGATGCCATCCAACCATCTCATCCTCTGTCATCTCCTTCTCTTCCTGCCTTCAATCTTTCCCAGCATCAGGGTCTTTTCCAAGGAGTCAGTTCTTCACATCAGGTGGCCTAAGTATTGGAGTTTGAGCTTCAACGTCAGTCCTTCCAATGAATATTCAGGACTGATCTCCTTTAGGATGGACTGGTTGGATCTCCTTGCAGTCCAAGAGACTCTCAAGAATCTTCTCCAACATCACAGTTCAAAAACATCAATTCTGAAGCACTCAGCTTTCTTTACAGTCCAACTGTCACATCCATACATGACTACTGGAAGAACCATAGCTTTGACTAGACAGTCCTTGTTGGCAAAGTAATGTTTCTGCTTTTTAATATGCTATATAGGTTGGTCATAGATTTTCTTCCAAGGGGCAAGCATCTTTTAATTTCATGGCTGCAGTCTCCATCTGAAATGATTTTGGAGCCCAATAAAATAAAGTCTGTCACTGTTTCTGTTGTTTCCCCATCTATTTGCCATGAAGTGATGGGATCAGATGCCATGACCTTTGTTTTTTGTTTTTTTTTTTTTTCACTCCTGGCCCTCCCCGACCTTTGTTTTTTGAATGTTGAGTTTTAAGCCAGCTTTTTAACTCTGACCAACTACCTAGTTTTAAAAATGGGTAAAGAATATGGACAGTTCATAGAAGATGAAACATGCCACTGAATAAAAAAATCATATGCACAACCTAAAAGTT